GACCCGCAGCAGGAAAACGTAGCGCGGGGCACATGGTTCCTTGGGAGGATGGATGCAATCGCATGATTAACAGTGCTTGCAAAACAGCAGGGCCTCTGAGAAAGCCACCCCATGCAACCAACAGAAACTGGGGGAGTGGGAATGAGTTGGAGATCCTGCTAGATGTAACCGCTTTCCTTTGGACACTGGCACTGGGAGAGCAGCCGGGGGGGGCTGTGAATTCTCTCCTTTGTACCTAGCAAACTCCGACCAGCAGGATCGGAGGTTCCCACCTCTTACCTGGAGTCACTTCTTTCTGGTTGAGGAGAAAGCAGCGCTCTGCCAAGAGGCTGTGACTATGGAAAATTCCAGCCTTTGAGGGCATATGAGGCCTCAAGCCTGTACTGGAGCGCAGACCCCTCCAAGCCCATGTTTCATGCAAGCAATGCTGAACAAAGGGCTAATTTTATGAGTTTGACCTCATCTCCTTTTGGCCTGGCTCCGAGGGCTTGGGAAGCAGAGGGAAGCAGTGTCTGTATATATTCTTGTCAACTTGCAATATTAAACACATGTGAACTTTCTAAAATAAAAACAACCCCTGTCCCTCCTCCTTGCTCCATTTACTCTATGGTTTGTTTTTCCCTCTGTCTCCTCTAATGTGTCTCTGAGTCAGCTTCATGGAGCCTGTGTCAGCCTCATCCATTTTTCTTCTCCTATGTTCAGCTTGCCTGCTTTTATTTCCAGCACGTGGTGTAGTCTCTCTGTTATACCTTAGGCTATGTTTAAGAGCCTCCTCTTTGTCTGATCTCCCTCTTTTTCTGTCTTTCTCTTGTTCCTCCCCTCCTTCGTTTCTTCCTCCTCTTCTCCTGATTGACCACAACAGTTTTTCCCTGAAAAATACGCCAGTGGTTTACTTCTTGCCTTGTCCTCAAATGCTGCAGAAAAAAAAGCTTGTGGGAAATATTCAGCTTCAGAAACCAGAGCAAGAAGGAGGTGTCTCTTTGGACAAAGCTGACTATTGCTAAATTGTGATTCAGCTCCTGCAAAGCAGACATTAGCCAAGACATCTGTCTAGCTGTCTGTCTATATTTAAAAAAAAAAAATCCCCTTTTTATTTTGCCTCTTGGTTTCCGACCTTATACTGTTCAGGTCTGGGGAGTGGTTTCCCCGCTCCCTTGAGAACTAGGCACCCATGTTTTATTTCTGAATGGGGGTGGGTTTTGGAAATCATATGCCTCCAGGAGCTGGAGATTTGTGCTCCACTTGTAGCAGAGCCCCTGTCCTCAGGGCCCTGCGTAGCTGGTGCACTGGCACCCGAGGATGCGCTAGCCTGAGGACAGGGCACCCGGGCAGATGCTTCGGCTGTAGCCATGGGTCAGAAGCAATCGCTGACCCCTGGGGTAGCCTTCTCTTTCGGTGGGCTTGGTGGGATGCGGCTGGTGGCGGGATGCAGTTTGATGTCACTGCTTGTCCATCCGCTCCCCAACCGTCATCGCCAAGCATCAGGCGATGAAGCGATCAGAGTGGAGCAGTGATGCTGGGAAGACCTTCATCCCTCTGGGAGAGGTCAGCCCCAGCTGGACCAGAACAGGGCCAAGCACCAAGCCCTGGCCCTTATCTTCTCCCTCTTGCCCTGATAGGGAAACCGCATGGCATGGGCAGGCGGCTGAGATAGTGCTTTTGGTCTCCTGCTTGGAAAGTGGGCAGGAGAGCCTGGAGCATCCCGGGCGCTGGAGCCCCGACACCGCCCAGCCCAGGAGGGCAGGGAGGGCAGCAGGGGTGGCTCGTCTCGCAGCTCAGGATGCCATCCTTTCCCGGCTCATGGCTCTTGCCCTGATAGGGAAACCGCATGGCATGGGCAGGCGGCTGAGATAGTGCTTTTGGTCTCCTGCTTGGAAAGTGGGCAGGAGAGCCTGGAGCATCCCGGGCGCTGGAGCCCCGACACCGCCCAGCCCAGGAGGGCAGGGAGGGCAGCAGGGGTGGCTCGTCTCGCAGCTCAGGATGCCATCCTTTCCCGGCTCATGGCGAAGAAGGGCATCCTCGTGTTCTCCAGATCTGGCTGCGGTACGGCCGCAGCGTGCCCTTTGCCGGGGCGGAGGGGCGGAGCCCCGGGGCTGGGGACAGCGGTGCGCCCCC